TGCGTTTCCCCCCCCCATAGATAGCAATCCAACACAGTCCAGTGGCACCTTTAAGACCCAAGTTTTATTCAGGTACAAGCTCTCCCTCTTCTGTGAGGGCAGATCTGCATGTCCCCCCCCCGCCCCCAATAGCTAGCAATACAAAACAGTCCAGCGGAGCCTGAGCAGTGGATGTTGCCTTCTGACACACTTCCGGTGATGTCAGGGGGTGTGGCATATGCAAATAAGTTATGCTAATGAGTTATGGTAATGAGCTCCTACACCTCTTTTTCTACGAAGTGACCCCTGGATACATGTATGAGAGCCATGACACCTGGATGGGCCAGGCTAGGCCGATCTCGTCAGATCTCGGAAGCCAATCAGGGTCAGCCCCGGTTAGTACTTGGATGGGAGGAAGCCCAGGGTTGCTACGCAGAGGCAGGCAATGGCACAACCACCTCTGTTTGTTCACCCTGACCTGAATGGCCCAGGCTAGCCTGATGTGGTCTCATCTTGGGAGCTAAGCAGGGTCGGCCCTGGTTAGTACTTGGATGGGAGACCGCCCAGGAAGCCCAGGGTTGCTACACAGAGGCAGGCAGTGGCAAACCACCTCTGTCCATCTCTTGCCTTGAAAACCCTGCTGGATCACCATAAGTTGACGGGGACTTGACACCACTTTCCACCACCATAGGTATGAGACAGAGCGGAATGTGGCAGCTCCTACATAGCCAGACGAGGTGTTCACGAGAGACTGACGTGCGCATAGAAGACGCAGTTCTCTCCCGCATTAGGAGAAAGCTCTATGCAACCAAGAATCCAGACTACACATGCATGCAGACCAGTGCTCCCTCTAAGCTGTGGAGTCTTGTGAGCAAAAATTCTACTTTGTGAGCTACCGGCATTAAAGTTTGTGAGCAAGCGATTTGGCTACTGCATCAATTAGTTTGCTCTGGAGCCATCCTCCCTGAGCAAAGGCAAAAATGTGTGAGCCAGAGGGTAAAAAACTGTGAGCTAGCTCACACTAACTCAGCTTAGAGGGAACACTGAGGCTATGGTGCATAGCCGAGAATGTGGTAGCCCCTACGTACATTCACCAGTGTGCCTCTGAGCCCCATGTACACAAATGATGTTCTGTGCTCTTCTACATGAGAAGAACGCTCTGCACATGAGCATGGGAGTTCCCACCCACTGTCCAGAGCATCTCGTGACAGGGTCACTCTCCCTGCTGCTCCCTATCATCAGACCTCAATCAGGTGACTTTTGCCTTCGTGGGCAGGCACTCCTGGTGCAGGGACGGATTGTCTCTGGAAATCCAAACACTTACTTGGGAGACAAATGTTCTGGTGATAGCTCGGGGTGGGCCTGACAAGGGGGCAGAACCGCAGCAGAGAGAAGGAACCGGGCAGGATAATGCAGCCCGTCCTGCTCTGTCCTCCTCCGGCGTTTGAGATGCCAACGTTGCAGTCCACATAAGCCCCAGCTTTGTGCTGCGGCCATAAGGGGCTAGAAACTTGCTTGGGAAAGATAATTTAGCAATGGATTAGCTTTCGACGCTAACCGAGTCGGTCTGCAGTGGAGCGGCCGTGTTCGAATGCAGAAGCAACTTAGACCGGAAAAAGATTTTCAAGGTACACGCTTTCGAAAGTCAGACGAAAGGTGCTAGGAATCTCGAAAGCTCGCATCCTGAAAACCTTGTTGGTTTCCGAATTGCTTGTGGGCTCCGATCTAGAGATGAACAAAAAGAGGAACCCGTGATACTCGCGGGGGGGGGAGTATTCCCCCCCGGCTTCCGGCCTGCGGAAGCAGGAGGACCTCAGGGCTGAAGAGGAGGTGGCCACAGGCAATGTTCCCTCTAAGCTGAGTTAGTGTGAGCTAGCTCACAGTTTTTTAGCCTCTGGCTCACACATTTTCCTCTTAGCTCAGGAAGGATGACTCCAGAGCAAGCTAATTGATGCAGTAGCCAAACCGCTCGCTCACAACTTTAATGCCAGTAGCTCACAAAGTAAAATTTTTGCTCACAAGACTCCACAGCTTAGAGGGAGCATTGGCCACAGGTAAGCTTCCCTTCCGCCCGGCCTGCTGCAGAGTTCCCAGAGCGTTCTCTGCGCATGCGCAGGTAACGCTGTTTTACTTTCTACTTTTGGGGGGGATTTAAGTATCCCCCCTATAGTTTTTAAAACTTTTCAGATTTTTCTGCACACCTGGGGAGTGCCCCAAGTGTGCAGGGAAATCTCTTTCCCCCCCCAGGTGCCCCCAATGTGCAAATATAGATATCCGCACAGAGGGGGGCTGTCTTGGCTATTAGTATATAGATTGGAGGCTCCGGAGCCAGCACAGGACTGAGAGACACTTCCCCCAGTGGCTGCAGCCAGCAAAGAAAATGGGGTGGGGGAGGCCATTGCTAGATAAAAGTGGTGACTGGAGAGGCGGTTTCGGCATCGCTCTGCACCAGCTCCAGCTGCAGTTCCCCCCCGCACTGCAAATTCCATCTCCCCCTCTTACACGGCAGCTGTTCAGTGGCGACTTGAGTTTGCAGTCCCACATCTGCCATCAAATACCCAGCATGGCTGCAAGACTCTAGACAAAAGCCACACTCTCCTTTTCCTTGCTTGTGTGTTCCTGTTGGTTCGGGGGGGGGGGTCTCTCTTCCACACATATTTTACTCCCTCTGGTGGTCGGTTTGATAATACAGCGCTTTGTGTCTGGCATAAAAACCCGCGGGTTAAATCTGGAGCCACATCCTTCCTGAGCCAAGACAAAAATGTGCAAGCCGGAGGCTAAAAAACTGTGAGTTAGCTCACACTAACTCAGCTTAGAGGGAACAGTGGCAGGGAGATATGCCTGAACTTGCTGTGACAGAGAGGAGGAAAGATCTTGGGGTCGTAGTGAGCTCAGTGAAAGTGTCAACCCAGTGTGGCTGCAGTGGTGAAAAGGGCAAGCCCTGTGTTAGGGACTATTAGGAAAGGGACTGAGAATAAAATGGCCGATATTGTAATGCCCCCTTTTTGAACTATGGTGCGGCCTCGTTTGGAATACTGTGTACCATTCTCATCACTGTATCTCAAAAGGACATTGCAGAGCTAGAAAATGTACAGCGGGGGGCAACCAAGATGTAGGAGCACCTCCCCTACGAGGAAAGGCTGAAGAGACTTTTCAGTTGAGAAAAGAGATGACTAAGGAGGAACACGATAGAGGTTCATAAAATATGCACTAGGTGGAAAGAGCGGAGAAAGAGAAAGTTTTTCTCCTTCTCACAAAATACTAGAACTTGAGAGCATCCAATCAAGCCGATGGGCAGTAGGTTTAGGATGTATAAAAGGAAATACTACTTTACACAGGGAGTGATTCAAAAATGGAATTTGCTGCCAGAGGATGTGGTGATGGCCAGGCGAATAAACAGTTTCAAAAGGGGATAAGACAGATTCATGGAGGATAAGTCTATCAATGGCTACTAGCCGTGGTGACAGAGGTGAACCTCCACATTCAGAGGCACTAACGCTCTGAATCCCAGTGCCAGGAGGCAACATCAGGGGAAGGCCTCAGCCTCTCTACCCTATTGTTGTTCATCCAGAGGAACTGGTTGGCCACTGTATGAGACAGGATGCTGGACTACATGGACCACTGGTCTGATCCAGCAGAGTGCTTGTGTTTTTATGCCGGGCATAAAACAATGTAATATTGAATCAACCAGTAGAGGGAGCAAAACACATGCAGAACAGGAAAAAAAAACCACCAACCAAAGCCACAGGAACACACAAGCGAGGGAAATGAGAATGCAGAAAAGCCCTCTTAGCAGGACAGATTTTGCACCCCGTCCAAAATTTTGGACTTGGGAAGCAAATTGCTAGATGTGGAGGAATATATGTACCGTTGGGCGCACAGAGGTTTCATGAAGCGATGCCGTGTGGTTTGCAGGGCACAGAAAAGTAGGTGTTTAAGGACAGGAGGATTTAATCATGGACCCTTTTCGACGAGCCTTCGCAGTGCCCCCTGGCGTCTGAAACCTCATTCCTTTGTCTCGCTAAAATGCAAAAAGCCCCAAATCCTCCTGCTGGGTTCCATGCCGTCTACCCAAGTCGACTTTTCTGTGGTTCCCCCTTTGGGTTTGCCAGTCAGCAGGGCCGGTTCCAAGTTTTGGGGGACTCAGGCAGAGTTCCCACGGGCCCCCTCTGTACCTACCACTTTATTCATTTATTTGTATTTATCCGTAGATTTGTATCCCGCCCTATCACCACACCAAACCAGTTGCACCTTGCTTGCCCCCCACCTGTGCCACCCCCCACCTGCCTGTGTGTCCTTCCCCTGCTGAGCCAGTTTGGTGTAGTGGTTAGGAGCGCACACTCTAATCTGGGAGAACCGGGTTTGATTCCCCACTCCTCCACTTGCAGCTGCTGGATGACCTTGGGCAAGCCATAGTTCTGACAAGAGTAGGGTACACGGTATATGGATATTACACTACACAGGGATTATTACTGTGATGTGCACTAAACTGAATAACACAGTACTGCAAAAATCAGAAAATATAGGCTGTTAAGGTTAAGTTAAAGTGATATGCTTTTTTTACAAGGTTGGAATACAAAAATACACCAAAATGTGTGAGCCGGAGGCTAGAAAACTGTGAGCCAGCTCACACTAATGCAGCTTAGAGGGAACACTGTCTGCCGCCATCCTCCCTGGGCTAAGACCAAAACGTGCGAGCCGGAGGCTAGAAAACTGTGAGCCAGCTCACACTAACTCAGCTTAGAGGGGACACTGTCTGCCGCCATCCTCCCTGAGCTTAGACAAAAATGTGTGAGCCGGAGGCTAAAAAACTGTGAGTTAGCTCACACTAGCTCAGCTTAGAGGCAACACCACTGCCTGGCCCCGATCCAGCGTCCCTTCCTGCATGGCAAACGTGCGTATGTCCGCTTCCGGTGCTCCCCGATTCCCTTCCCCGCGACTAACCCCCCTGCCCCCCTTGTGTATGTTTCCAGTCGCCTGGTTCTCCTTCGATCCCAGCACCGCCCACTCCGACATCATCTTCTCCAATGACAACCTGACCGTCACTTGCAACAGCTACGACGACCGGGTCGTGCTGGGCAAGACCGGCTTCTCCAAAGGGCTCCACTACTGGGAGCTGTCGATCGACCGCTACGATAACCACCCGGACCCGGCCTTTGGGGTGGCTCGCGTAGACGTGCTCAAGGATGTCATGCTAGGGAAGGATGACAAGGCCTGGGCCATGTACGTGGACAATAACCGGAGCTGGTTCATGCACAACAACTCGCACACAAACAGGTACGTGGTCCCGGCGCCCCCCGTCTGTCCGAGACCCCCTTGCGTCGAATCGAGCCCGGGACCTCCCCCACGCGGCTGAGCAGGCTGGCTGGAAGGAGTCCTCCACGAGCCACCGAGTCTGTGCTCGAGGGACAAGCTGCTCAGAGGGAAACCGTGGGCCCTGCTCGTCCACTTGCAGGACCACGGAGTGATCCAAAGGGCTCCCTAGAGCAGGGGTGTCGAACCCATTTGTCGCGAGGGCCGGATTTGTCTGAAATGTCACTTTAATGAGAACAGAAGGCAAAAACAGGTGTCGTTAACAGACTCAACGATTACAACTTGCCAAAAAGCTGAAGAACATGCAATAGAGAACGATGTATATAAAGCAGCTACCGTGAGAAAGTAGAAAATGTAAACAGTGGAGGCCAGACTGGTGGCAACCAGGGCCAGGGCTTTCTCGGTAGTGGCTCCACTCTGGTGGAATGAGCTCCCGGAAGAGACTAGGGTCCTGCGGGACCTTTCACAGTTCCGCAGGGCCTGTAAGACGGAGCTCTTCCACCAGGCCTTTGGAGCCACCGCCACTGACTCCTCCACCGCCAACAGTTAATATCTACTTTGGCGGAGCCCTGGCCCATAGGTCCCTCAAACACAGCCGGTGCCAATGACCTGAGATAGCTGCAGAAGGCCAAAGAGCCAATTGGAATATGAGGAATGTTGCTAGCACTTTATCATATTTTAATTTCAATGCTGTATTTATTAATGTATGTGATTTTATTATGATTGTATTATGAGAATTTTATCTGTTTGTAAGCCGCCCTGAGCCGGCCTCGGCCAGGAGGGCAGGCTAAAAATTTAATAAATAAAAAATAATAACTGGTATGTGCTACAGTGTCTAAACAATGATCCCCTGCAAGTCTGAAGCTATTGAAGCTGACTACATGTTGGAGATTGGCATTCGATTTTGTATTGAATCGTTCACAGACTGTTTCCAATGCCTGTCAGTTTGAGGATGAAAACCACAGCGGCTTAAAGGGAACACCCCGATGAAGGATGAACTTTGAAACGTTGTTATCAAACATCCGGACACAACGTTGAATTCTTTAGCAGTTCTCCATTGTTTATCCATTGTAGCACCTACCAGTTCTCCACTGTTTACATTTTGTACTTTTTCACTGTAGCTAGTTTGTTTAAATCTTTCACTATTACGTGCTCTTCAGCTTTTTGGCAAGTTGTAATCGTTGAGTCTGTTAACTACGCTTGTTTTTGTCTTCTGTTACCATTATATAGTAGTGTAGTGAACATTATTAAATGTCACTTTGACTGGCCAGGCCATGAGTGCCATAAGATGTAATGCCAGGTACCGGAGTCAATGTTCCCTCTAAGCTTGTGAGCAAAAATTCTACTTTGTGAGCTACTGGCATTAAAGTTGTGAACGAGTGATTTGGCTACTGCATAAATCAGTTTGCTCTGGAGCCATCCTTCCTGAGCCAAGGCAAAAATGTGTGATCTGGAGGCTAACACTGCCGGAGATATAAACTTTGTGAAGGATAGAGGCAAACCCAATTAACACTACTATTTTTTAACTCAAAGTACAAACAACAGCAATTGATTCCTAGCAGTGAAAGCAATTGGTTTACTAGGGGACCCACAAAAACCCCAATAAATGTATTTAATCATATGCAAGAGTAGGTTTTTTTCCCCCCAGGGGATACCATAAAAGGGGGAATACCTTATAGTTCCATACATACCAGTTGCTTGTGGGTTGGGTAGCAGCCCTGGATGGGCCAGTTCTGGCCCCCGGGCCTTGTCTTTGACACCCCTGCCCTAGAGTGGCCAGCCTCCAGGTGGGGCCTGGAGATCTCCAAGAATTACAATGGATCTCCAGATCACAAAGATCAGTTCCCCTGGAGGAAAAGACCGCTTTGATGGGTGGAGCCTTTAACATTATACCTAGGGTTGCCAACTCAGTGTTGGGAAATACCTGATGATTTGAGGGTTGGAGACTGGGGTGGTGGGGTTTGGGGTGGGGATAGACCTCAGCAGGGTATAATGCCCTGGAGCCCACCCTCCAAAGCAGCCATTTTTTCTACAGGGACTGGCCAGTTTGGTGCAGTGGTTAGGAGCGCGGACTCTAATACGGGAGAACCGGGTTCGATTGCCCACTCCTTCACATGTAGCTGCTGGTGTGACCTTGGGTCAGTCACAAGCTCTCTCAGAGCTGTTCTCTCAAGGGCAGTCCTCAAGACAGCTCTCTCAGCCCCACCTGCCTCACAGGGTGTCTATTGCGGGGAGGGGGGATCTTCTTCTTCTTCTTCTTCTTCTTCTTCCTCTTCTTCTTCTTCTTCTTCTTCTTCTTCCCCCCCTCACCTGGAGGTTCACAACCTTAATTATACCCACTGAGGTCCTTCTGCAACCCCAACCCCTGCTGTCTCCAAGCTCCACCCCCAAATTTCCATAAATTTCCCAGTCTGGAGTTGGCAGCCCCTCGGGGCTCCCTGATGTCACGTGCGCCTTGCAAGTGGGTAGCGGTAATATTACCTGCTGACCAGCTGGTGGCACTACCGTGCCACAGACAAACCATCCTTTCTCTGCTCCTAAGGTGGTAGAAAGCAAGAAATTGCAAGTAGATAAATAGGTACCACTTCGGTGGGAAGGGAACAGCATTCCGTGCACCTTGGTGTTTAGTCACACGACCACGGAAACGTCTTCGGACAGCGCTGGCTCTTCGGCTTGGAAATGGAGATGAGCACCGCAACCCTAGAGTCGGACTCGACTGGCTTTCGAGCACTATCTATTCATTAATTTAATACCCTGCGTTTCTCCCCGATGGGGACCTTGACTGGCTTGCATCGTTCTCCACTCCTCCTCCATTTTACCCTCACAACAATCCTGTGAGGTGGATTAGGCTGAAAGTGTGTGTGACTGGCTCAAGATCATAGACTCATAGAGTGGGAAGGGGCCATACAGACCATTTAGTCCACCCCCTGCCCAACTGAGTGGGGATTTGAAGCTGGGTCTCCCAGATCACAGTCTGAGACTATAACCATTGCACCACACCAGTGGTCTGCTGCCCAGACCTTCATTAGAACATCAGAAGAGCCCTGCTGGGTCAGACCAGTGGTTCATCTAGTCCAGCCTCCCACACAGGGGCCAACCAGTTCCTCTGAAGGGCCAACAACAGGGCAGAGAGGCCAAGTCCTTCATAAGAACATAGGAAGAGCCCTGCTGGATCAGACCAATGAGGGTCCATCTAGTCCAGCCTCCCGTCTCACACAGGGGCCAACCAGTTCCTCTAGAGGGCCAACAACAGGGCAGAGAAGCTGAGGCCTTCCCCTGATAAGAACATCAGAAGAGCCCTGCTGGATCAGACCAGTGGTCCATCTAGTCCAGCGTCTTGTCCCACACAATGGCCAACCAGTTCCCAACAAGTTCCCCTGGAAGGCCAAGAACAGGGCAGAGAGGCCGAGGCCTTCCCCTGATGTTGCCTCCTGGCTCTGGGGTTCAGAGGTTGACTGCCTCTGACTGTGGAGGTTCCCCTTAGTCACCAGGGCTAGTAGCCACTGATAGACAACTCTTCCATGAATCTGTCTGTTCCCCTTTTAAAGACATCTGTGCTTGCGGCCATCACGATATCTTGGTGCTTGGTGCCAGCCAAAACCCTGCAAGGACAGGGAAGGGGCAGGAACTCACACCATGGTCTATCCAGTTCGGCCTCTGTGTTCACACAGTGGCTAATCGGATACCCCCAGAAGGCTAACAGGTAAAGCACAGGGGCCGAAACATCCCCATGTTGTAACCCCCCTCCCAGCACTGGTATTCAGAGGATGACTGCTTCTGAACACGGAGGTTCCATTTACCCCTTGTAACTAATAACCATTGTGGGACCATGAAATCACCTCACCCCCTTTGGAACCCAACCAAATGATTGGCTGTCACTACTTCCAGTGGCAGTGAGTCCCACAATTTAATTACTGTCTGAGCAAAGAAGTGAAAATGAACACATGAAGCCACCATATACCGAATCAGAGCATAGTCTAGCAAGGCTCATATATTCTACTCAGACTGGCAGCCGCTCTGCAGGGTCTCAAGCAAAGATCTTTCATATCACTGACCACCTGATCCTTTTCTGAGACTCCTTTGGGTAATGAAGGGCGAGGTATAAATCCAATCTCCTCTCCTCCTCCTCCTCCTCCTCCTCCTCCTCTTCCTCTTCCTCTTCTTCTTCTTCTTCTTCTTCTTTCAAAAGCTCATATCCCAAAATTCTTATTGGGCTCTCAGGTGCTACCGGATTCGAATCTAGCCGTTTCCTTCTGTTTACTTGATATATAGCCATCTTTCTTCTCGAGACTCCAGTGTGGTACAGCCCTGCCCCAGCGATGGGGAAAGCACTCCATACTGCCGCGCATCAGCGCATACTCCGCGTGCAACTGAATGATGGATGCCCACCAATGTAAACCCGTTTCTCCATTGCCAGGAAACCCTGGAGTGCTCCCCAACAGAAAATGCCTTCAGACAGATTTGCCATTTCTCTCACGCTCTGACTCGCTTTCCCCCCCCGACAGGACGGAAGGAGGCATAACCAAAGGGGCCACGGTGGGCGTCTTGCTCGACCTGACCAGGAGGACCTTGACTTTCTCCATCAATGAAGACCAGCAGGGGCCTGTGGCCTTTGAGAACCTGGAGGGCGTCTTCTTTCCCGCCGTCAGCCTGAACAGAAACGTGCAGGTGAGGGCTGGGAAGGGATGTGGGGGTGGCCGGGAAGAGAGAACGGGGAGGCTGCGGTTCGTGGAGGGGGGGGTGTGCCACCGTCCAATGCTGGAGGGAGGGAATCCGGTTCAGAGCAGCAGGACTAGAACCCAGAGCTGGAGGGAGAAATGGAGAGGCCAGGAGGCCAAAAACATTATCTTAACTGTGCTGGTCATGTATGTCTAATGAATAGGAAACAGAGAGTGAGTATAAATGGGAAATTTTCTCAATGGAGGGTGGTAAGCAGTGGGGTACCGCAGGGATCAGTACTCGGTCCGATGCTTTGTAACTTGTTCATTAATGATTTGGTGTTGGGAGTAAGAAGTGAAGTGGCTAAATTTGCAGATGACACGAAGTTGTTCAGGGTGGTGAGAACCAGGGAGGATTGTGAGGCACTCCAAAGGGATCTGTCGAGGATGGGCAAGTGGGCGTCAACGTGACAAATGGGGTTCAGTGTGGCCAAGTGCAAAGTGAGGCACACTGGAGCCAAAAATCCTAACTCTAAATACACGTTGATGGAGTCCAAACTGGCAGACACTGACCAAGAGAGAGATCTTGGAGTCGTAGTAGATAACTCAATGAAAATGTCAAGACAGTGTGCGACTGCAATAAAAAAGGACAACGCTATGCTGGGGGTTATTAGGAAGGGAATTGAAAACAGATCAGCCAATATCGTAATGCCCCTGTATAAATCGATGGTGTGACCTCATTTGGAATACTGTGTACGGTTCTGGTCGCCACACCTCAAAAAGGATACTATAGCATTGGACAAAGTGCAGAAAAGGGCAACTAGAATGATAAAAGGGCTGGAACACTTCCCCTATGAAGAAAGGTTAAAATGCTTAGTGCTCTTTAGCTTGGAGAAAAGACGACTGAGGGGGTGACATGATCGAGTTTACAAGATTATGCATGGGATAGAGCAGGTAGAGAAAGAGGTCCTTTTCTCCCTTTCTCACAATACAAGAACTCGTGGGCACTCCATGAAATAGCTGAGCGGTTGGGTTATAACGGATAAAAGGAAGTCCTTCTTCACCCAAAGAGTGATCAACACATGGAATTCACTGCCACAGGAGGTGGTGGCAGCTACAAGCATCGACGGCTTCAAGAGGGAATTGGATAAACGTATAGAGCAGAGGCCCATTGATGGCTATTAGCCACAAGGTATAGAAAGGAGCTCTTGATCTGGGCAACTCGCAGCACAATACCTGGCATTTATCCCTGGTTATAACAGCATCCGTTTATCCTGGGACAAGTGTGGGGCAAAACCGGGGTGGCCTCAATGTAATGTGGAAACAAAAAATACCCCAAGATAATTACAGGGGTGAACCCGAGTGCAGTGTAGAATGTAAGTTTGGGGACAGGGTTGAACCAGGATTTAATTTATTTTTATTTATTTATTTATTTAAATTTATAACCCGCCCTCCCCGCGAACGGGCTCAGGGCAGCGTACAGATGGGGCCAATGCCCAATGCATAAAACATTAAAACTGCATTTTAGAAACATTCAGTTTTTAAGGTCTAAGTGTGGAAATACCCAGAAGAGTGTTCCCTCTATACCAGGGGTGGCCAAAGTCGCTCAACGTCAGGGCCACACAGAATAAACATCAGATGTTTAAGAGCCGGAAGACATGAGCAAATATCGCACACACGTTTTTTATAGGAAAATATGCAGATTTGCTTTTTATTCGTGTTAAAACAGACGGCCAAAAATAAAAACAGAAGGGGTAAAAACAGATATCGATAACGATAATTATTTGTCCAACGGTATTTGTTTGCGAATGATATGTGTTTGTCTGAGAGAGAGAGAGAGACAAAGAGAGAGAGGTGGAAAGAAAGAATGAAAGAGGTGGAAAGAAAGAGAGAAAGAGGGAGAGCCAGAGAATGAAGAAAGCAAATAGATGGGAGAGAAGGGCAAGGAAGAGAGGGAGGGAGAAAAAAATATGCCTCCCCTTCACTTCCCCAGCTACCCTACCGGGAGCCGCACAATAGGTGTGAAAGAGCCGCATGTGGCTTCCGAGCCGCAGTTTGGCCACCCCTGCTGTATACCTTGCGGCTAATAGGCTAATCTATACCTTGTGGCGAATGGGCTCCACCCCCAAAATCTCCAGGTGTCTCCCACCCGGAGCTGGCAACTCTAAGAGTAGGCGTTGTGACTGCAAATGAGCTTTCGAATGCTCCGGAGATTGAACTTTGTGGCCTTTGGTTGCAGGTGACTCTCCATACCGGTTTGCCCGTCCCGGACTTCTACCATTCACGGGGCACCATGCAGTAAGGACGGAGCGAGCGGTGGGCCCCGTCTGGCTTTTTCTCAGGACACATCCCAGTGAGCTGTGTGGATTCCCTTCAGGGACTGACCCCAGAGGAGGAAGCGGGACAAGATCCGTTCGGCCGGGTCCCCCAGGCCAGCGAACACCAAACGTTTGTGTGTGGGGGGGGGAACAAGGAAAAACATCTACGGAAGAGAAAGGACAAACCAGACCGCGTCCCCTACAGCTCTGCAGCGAAACCCCCTCACCTTCTCCGGCCCCGTGTGCTCTGTGTGCATTGGCTTCGCTGTTTCGTGCTTTCGGCCAAGAGCCAAGTTCTCGGAGAGACCGAGATTGGCCCCCCCCCCATTTTTTGGGTTTTGTTTCCGTTCCAGCGTGGATTCCCCTTTTCTCCCAAACGTAAACCGCCGGCTGCCGATGCAGTTGAAACCGGAACCTCTCCTCCGATATCCTTGGATTATGTGACACATAACGATGAAACCAATGCTTCGGGGTGCGGGTGGGGAAACGGGGAGGACTGACAACGCATCCATGAATGCTCCCAGCATTTCCAAAGTCTAATCCGTCGCTCCTCCGTTTCTGTCCGAATGGCCTTTATCCTCAGGGATGTTGGCCCTGGATTACATTTATCTACAAAGCCATAGGGAATGAATCGAGTTTTGGGAACGGTGTTCGAGAGACAGTTTGGTGTCGTGGTTAAGTGTGCGGACTCTAATCTGGGAGGACCGGGTTTGATTCCTCACTCCTCCACTGGCATCTGGCTGGATGACCTTGGGCAAGTTCTGATAAGAGCTGTTCTTGAAAAAAGAGCCGTTTCTGTCAAGAGCTCTCTCAGGCCCACCAACCTCACAGGGTGTCTGTTGTGGGGAGGGGAAGGGAAAGGAGTTTGTCAGCCGCTCTGAGACGCCTTTGGGTAGTGAAGGGGGGGGTATCAATCCAATCTCTTCTTCTTTTCTTCTTCTTCTTCCCTCCAAGCTGAGTTAGCGTGAGCTAGCTCACAGGTTTTTAGCCTCCAGCTCACCCATTTTTGTCTCAGCTCAGGGAGGGAGGGCTCCAGAGCAAACTAATTTATGCAGCAGCCGAATGGCTCCCTCGCAACTAACGCCGGTAGCTCACACAGTAGAATTTTTGCTCACAGGACTCTACAGCTTAGAGGGAGCACCGCTTGGGAAATGTTTCTCTTTCTCTTCTCGGTCAAGATTGAGGAACGGGCAACATTTTCGCTGAAATGGGGAGAGCGGTCGTTATGATGCAAAGGCTGGCACCCACACCCTGGTGACAGTGCGTAGTTCTTTATTTTAAAAAATGTGCACACCGGCTGGTTGACCAAGAGGACGCCTGAGAGAGCTAACGAGAAACCACAGGAAGCAAACATAGCTTGAGCCTCGCTGTAGATTAACCTCGTTCAAGTGCAGGGGCACCTTTAAGACCAGCAAAGTTTTATTCAAGGTACAAGCATTCGTGTGCAAGCACACCTCTTCAGATACCCAATACAGTTGCGGATACATAAGTGTGCATGCACGCGAGAGCTTTGTTGTTCTTCAGTCGCGCAGTCGAGTCCGACTCTTCGTGACCCCGTGGACCACATCACGCCAGGCCCTCCTGTCCTCCAGAGTTTGCTCAATTTCACGTTCGTTGCCTCGATGACACTGTCTGACCATCTCATCCTTTGCCGTCCCCGTCTTCTTTGACCTTCAGTCTTTCCCAGCATTAGGGTCTTCTCCTCCAGTGAGTGCTCCCTTCTCATTTGGTGGTGGCCAAAGTATTTGAGCTTCAGCTTCAGTCTCTGGCCTTCCAGGGAACAGTCAGGGTTGATTAGGACTGACTGATCTCCTTGCAGTCCAAGGGAGTCTTCTCCAGCACCATAATTCAAAAGCATCTATTCTTTGGCGCTCGGCCTTCCTTACGGTCCAACTATACCTTGATTAAACGTTGTAGGTTTTAAAGGTGCTACTGGACTTGAACTTGGTTCTGCTGCTTCAGTGCAACACGGCAACCCACCTGTATAATAACCTGCCATTCACTGGCAGTCTTTAAGCAGCGGCTGGACAAGCAAACGTTGGCTTGAACAGGGGTCATTTCCTGCAAGAGCGCACAGGAGCGGAGCTCCGGCAGTAAAGAGCCCAGGGGGCAGGCACATACAACAAGCCCCACCTCCTGCTCCCAGCAGCCCCGGGCTACGAGGAGCAAGAAGCCTCTTTCTTTCCCTCAATCCCTCCTTCTTTCCTTCTCTTTCTTTCCCTTTTTCTTTCCCTCCTTCTTTCCTTCTCTTTTCCCCCTCCTTCCTTCCTGCACAGATCTGCGTGTTCTCCCCCCCCATCAGCTAGCAATCCAAAACAGTCCAGTGGCACCTTAAAGGCCAAGGTTTATTCAGGTACAAGCTCTCCCTCCTCTGCTAGGGCAGATCTACGTGTGTTCCCCCCCCCCCCCAATAGCTAGCAATCCAAAATAGTCCAGTGGAGCCTGAGTGGTGGGTGTTGCCTTCTGACACACTTCTGGTGATGTCAGGGGGTGTGGCATATGCAAATAAGTTGTGCTAATGAGTTATGCTAATGAGCTCCTGCACCTCTTTTTCTACAAAATGACCCCTGGCTTGAAACTCGACATCAAAAAAACTAAGATCATGGCATCCAGCCCCATCACTCCTTGGCAAATAGAAGAGGAAGACCCTAATGCTGGGAAAGACTGAAGGCCAAAGAAGAAGGGGACGGCAAAGGATGAGATGGTCAGAAAGCGTTATCGATGCAACGGACGTGAGATTAAGCAAACTCCGGAGGACGGCAGAAGCCAGGAGGGCCTGGCGTGCTGTGGTCCACGGGGTCGCGAAGAGTCGGTCTCAACTGTGTGACTGAACAACAACAACAACGGACAAACACTTTATCGGGGATGCTCTAGGATGATCCTACATTGAGCAGGGGGTTGGAGTAGATGGCCTCTAGGACCCCTGCCAACTCTCTGTGATTCTATGAACCTTGTTATCCATAAGTGCCAAGATCTTGGTAAGAGCTGGATTCGGGTGTAGTAGCACCTAAGACCAGCAAGATTCCTGGAGTGTGAAATTCTGAGCGTCAAAGCTCCATTCATCGGGTGTCTCTAAGAGAGCTTTGACTCTTGAAAGCTTCTTCCCTCCAAAACCCTGTTGGTCTCTAAGGTGCTGCTGGACTCGAACCCGGCTCTTCTGCTGCAGACCAGCACGGCTACCCACCTGAAAAGAGATCTTGGTAAGGGATCCCCCCCGGGTCCTTTGGACTGAGGTAAGTTCCTCCCGCCAAACCAGGTCTGATAGAGCCTGCCGTGTTTGTACTTCATCAGCCTGCCCTATTTGTATCTCAGACAGAAGGGAGTCTGTGCTTTACGGGGGGTGGAAAGTGGGGTTTCGTGAAGGGAGCCGAACGCCTTTCTCCCTGACATCTCTTGTACTCGGTTGCTTCCCGCTCTTTTCCCCTGGCCCAGAGCTGATGTTGGAAGCCAGCCAAACTAGGGAGAAAATGCCTGAAGTTACAGCAATGGTGGTTCTGTGAACTTTGGCAGAGAGCCAGTTTGGTGTGGCGGTGAAGTGCGCGGACTCTAATCGGGGAGAGCCGGGCTTGACTCCCCAATCCTCCACTCGCACCTGCTGGATGACCTTGGGCAAGCCACAGTTCTGTCAGAGCTGTTCTCTCAAGGACAGTTCTGAAAAAGTGCTCTCTCAGCCCCACCTTACCTCACAGGGTGTCTGTTGTGGGTAGGGGAGGGGAAAGAAGATTGTAAGCCGCTCTGAGACTCCTTTGGATAGTGAAGGGCGGGGTATAAATCCAATCTCTTCTTCTTCTTTTACCTCACAGAGTGTCTGTTGAGGGGAGGGGAAGGGAAAGGAGTTTGTGAGCCGCTCTGAGACTCCTTTGGGTAGTGAAGGGCGGGGGATAAATCCAATCTCTTCTTCTTTTACCTCACAGGGTGTCTGTTGTGGGGAGGGGAAGGGAAAGGAGTTTGTAAGCCGCTCTGAGACTCCTTTTAGTGAAGGGCGGGGTATAAATCCAATCTCTTCTTCTTCTTTTACTTCACAGGGTGTCTGTTGTGAGGAGGGGAAGGGAAAGGAATTTGTCAGCTGCTCTGAGACTCCTTTGGGTAGTGAAGGGCGGGGTATAAATCCAATCTCCTCCTCCTTCTACTTCAGCCCTCACTAAGGTGCTAAACACCTCACATAACAGGCCTCACTGCGGTGCATACAGGCTGTGGTACTTCGAACTGTAGGTTGTGATTTGCCGGCGGGTGGTGATCTGGGGTTGCAAACCACGGTTTTGACCTGACGTTTGTGAGCCACGATTGGTGTAAACCATGGCTGGTCGTGTGAGACCCCCAGTTTGTTCACCGGCACCTCCCCTCTTATCCTCCCGCGCCCAGAGAGGGGAGCACTGTGCCGAAGACTGGCCTTCTCTCACACAGCAGGAGTGTGCTTCCAGGACTTCGGCCTCTCGAAGGGGGGATTTAAAAGGCCGCAGAACGATACAGAGAGAAAGTGGAGAAGTGGGCCTGTGGGAGTTCGGTTGCCAAAGCTCACTTGTCAGGGATGCATTCTAGGCTGGTCCTGCATCGAGCAGCGGGTTGGACTGGATGGCCTCTAGGGTCCCTTCCGACTCTCTGTGAGTCTGTGATCTCAGAGAACAGTGCAGGGAACGGCAGGATGGAGGGAAGGAGAGGCAGGGAAGCCGCTCAGCCAAGAACAAGGGGGAGGCGGCCCAGTGCATCCTAAAGCTTCCCCATCTCCTTCCACACTGTAGCTGACCTTTCTTCCTAGAGTTGCCAAGTCCTTACCTTCAGCCGGTGGGGGGCTCCAGCCGGCCCTCTGGGGCCTTCTACATGTGCGTACCACAATGATGTCACCCAGAAGTGGGCACATCGTGAAGGGGATGCTCTAATATTTGGCTAAGAACTCTATGGTCACCATGGAGTTTTTAGCAAAATGCTAGAGCATCCCCCGTGCAAAATGCCTGGTATGATGACGTCACAGGGCATGGCAGGCACGGTGGGGTT